CAGAAATTAAAAGAGTTGAAGGCATAGACACTCATATTCATATCAGTGAACATTTACTGGCTACCTTGACATCCACTAGCTCCAAGAGGCTGCATAATCTTATTGTCATTGATGTAAGTGTCACGATCAAACATAATTAAAATTATCACATAAACCTTGGTGCAGTAATGTAGTACAGCCATTTAATAAAAACAATATTACATTACTGACATGACTAACATACATATACATGACATCCAAACGAGTTATACAAACATAGCTTAAAAGTGTGTTAATGTTAGTGTTCCACTATAGGCACACCACCATGTCAGAAGGACAGCATGCTAGAGCTTGATAGTGAAACAAAAGCGTGGATGATGTAGAATTTTCTAAGTTCAAAAAAGTCCACAATAGAATCTTATACTGTATTCAAATAGATTCATTACTAAATTGATTGACATCATTGAAGAAAACAATATCATTCAACACTTTCAATAAATTGAGTATTGAACCTACTGTAATTTAATATCCACTATATGTGTTTAAACAAACTACATTAAGTGCTATTATCATAGAAATATGCACATTAAAGGAACTCCACTGGAGTTTATAAGAGTAAAACATCACATTTTAATTTTTCACATACAGTAAACTCCGCTTATAACGAACTAATTGGGACATTCAAAATCTGTTCCTTATATCCGGAGTTCCTTGTAAGCATATAGCGAATTAGTTCCCTGTATCAGGAGTTTTTATAGCGAACAGATTTACATATAACGAACTGATTGTTTACCATCGTCCTCCATTTTGAAGAGCATTTGATTAAGAAATATAAGTCATATATTCAATACCCAAGAGCGTACTTTTTGGAATTTAAATAATTGCTATTCCAATTTAAGATTTGCTCCCTATGTCAATTTCTCATTAAATATAATATTTTGTTTCTAAACACTTTTCGTTTTCTTTCTATGATTGAGAATAAACAAGATTTTGAATATCTTCTTTTATAATTTAAGGGTGACTTTTAATTATGGAAGATAAAGATTTCTTTTCATTTAAATCAAGCGTACATTGCAGATTGCAAGCATGCGTGATTATGCTGAAAACCGATTATAAATTATTATAATTATTTTACTCGAGCACAACTATTGACGAAAAGAAATAAATACCCGTTTTATCTTGGTGAAAAGAGCTCATGCTAAAAATATCCTAAATAGAAAACTATACAAATTCATTTTAATAGATGTATTGAAGTACATACAACGATAAACGGTACATTCGGCCGAGTTTTAATCCGTGCCAATGAAAACGAAAGTCTATTTACGGATAGCCAATATTTTGTAGTTCGTTATAAAAGTGCAATTTTCTGGACTTTTAACTAGATTGGGACTAAGAAACGAGTTCCTTATAAGCGATAATTCCTTATAACCATGTTCGCTATAACCATATTATTTTATATTAAATAAAGAAGGGCAAAATTCGGGCCAAAATAAATTGTTCCCTATAACCGGAGGTTCGCTATAACCGTGTTCGCTATAAGTGAAGTTTACTGTATTTAATAAATATGAGAACTTTTAACAGAAACATAAATAAAATATAAATAAGAAATATACAAGAAATACATTGAAAATCATATGTTTATGCCATTTTCAGTCCGATTGAGTGAAAAGCGTTTAAACGCTTTTCGATTTCGGGTCATTTTTCACTATTATGATAATTATTCTGGAAATACGGAGCGAGCTAATGATCTGAAATTTTGCACATAAGTTATTAGTATAGATCTACATCAAATGGAGTAATAATCTGAAAAAAATATTTCCAGTCCCGTCATGTCAAAAAACCTCTGTGGAGTCCCTTTAACTGGCCATCACGGAAATTGGCAGGGTATGGATAGTTGACCAAGGACAGGTCAGTCCAGGTATTAGCCAGCCAGGCTTTAAAATTGTCCACATCAGAGCTGTGTGCTAGTAGTTTACATAACTTGAATGTTGTGCTGATGAAATCTCTACCTTTCCCTGTATAATATAATAATTTTTATACATGTACATGTAAATAATAAAATAATATGATAATAAAGTATTACTTTCATTATATATTTAGTTTACATCACTGCAAATTCATTTTATTATACCTTATATGATTTATTTACAATAAAACCTTATATGACATCAGAGGCTAACAATCTATAATGTGACATGGCAACATTACCCATACATGTCATATCCAGACCCCTACCCTCTGGGAACAAAATTCCCAGATTTTCGGCCTTGTCTCCCATTCTCCTACCATGGGATTGAATTCCGCTGATTTTCAAAAATCCAACAGACAAAAAATTTAATACATCACCTTTACCAGTAAAACATAATTTTATGATACACTTCGTATTACATCTGAAGTAGTGTCTCCCTCAAAATCATTTTATTTTTTTGTCCATATCCCCTGCTTGTTAATAATGCCCCGGTCACATATTCACGGATAATGCCACGGAAGAGCTACGGTCTAATTGTTCACGGATTACTACGGAAATGTGAAATTCCGTAGTCCGCTACGGTTCCAGTACGGACACACAACGGTATGAGAACGGAGTCCGACGGATTTTCCACCAAAAGCCCCCGGAGAGACACGGACTGTTACGGACTGACACGGTTTGATACGGAGCGACACGAATCAGGACGGACACACTACGGATACACTACGGTCTGCTACGGTATAAGCACGGGTTAGTACGAATAAGTACGGTCTGATACGGAGAAGGACGAATTGATACGGATCTAAACGGACCTAATACATCCGTCCACAACCTCTTGCATGTTCATTCTCAAAATGCCCCACAAGAAAAGAACACATAGAAAACAAATGGCAGAGTTCAATGATTTTGGCGGAGAGGATTCGGCCTAACCGCGTCCGACCCCCGAGACACATCAGGTCCGATTAAAGGACGTGGGATCCTCAATAAGTTCGGCCATGAGAGCCTCATACTAAACATGAAGTGGTCTTTGTAAAAGCCCATCTCTAGTCCACCATCTCGTCTGTCTTCTCTTACCTGATTAGATATGGACTAGTAAGCATTAATGAAAAATGTTGATCAATACGGCTTCTCTATTAATTTTAAAATTTGCTGTTCATTTTACAATTACATTAATTATCGTGAATGTTTATGTTTTAAAAATATGTAAAAAGCTTGTTAATTAATCTTATAATCACTCAAGGGCCAGCATCCGAGGCTTATGAGACACTTCGTTTTATGTACATATTTACTCCAATTTCACGATCCAATGTTTGTAAAATATGTAACATTAAATGTTATTCTATTACTTATGAAGTGTAGTACAATATTAATATATTTTACCTCTATGCATGTCATCAAGCAGCTCGACCACTGCCTCCGCATTCTGAGTCATTTCAATATAAAGTCGCAGCCAGTAAATGGCAATTATCATTTATTGAATGTTCCGGCAAATATGTCTGTTTTTAACAAGAAGGTAGTATTCGTACCATTGAAAAAGTGCAGGATACTTAATTCATCCGTACTAAACAGTGGTGGACCGTACGATTCCGTACCGTTTCGTGTTGCAACGCAATAAACCGTATAAGACCGTTCTAATCCCTGCCTCTCCGTAGTACAACGTATTACGATCGTGGTTTTCCGTGACAATGTCGTATTAATCCGTATTAAAACCGTAGCTTATACGTAGGGTAACCGTACAAATACGTAGTTCTCCGTACTAAACCGTGGAAATCCTTGACAAGTTGGTGGACTACGACTCAGTACGGACTAGTACGGTTTTCGTACGGACCAGTACGTATCAGTACGGTTTAATACGGACTAGCAGGGATACGCTACGGTTGATTTTTCCGTAGCAAATTTTTGTGCATGTTCAAAAATTGTCAAGGATCGCTACGGATATACAAGGACTACTACGATTGATTACGGTTACAATACGGAGAGCTACTGACCAGTACGGGTAGCTACGGACGATGCCGGAATTAATCCGTGGCTCTTCCGTGGGCGTATTCCGTGAATATGTGACCGGGGTATCAGTTCGTTTACTTATGAAGACTTGCGTTCTTTCTGAAACTATTTTGAATTTTGTAAATGATCTTATTGTTAAGAAAAGCTATGGGCAAGGAAACTGTTCAATAGCCTTCTTCAAATCATCAGAAACACGAACCCAGCTAGCCTCCCTTGCCTGTTATATATTTTCTACTTCAAGAGTAAAATATCAGCAAAACCTGGCTGCAGATAAATATAATTCACTAACTCATTGTTTATTGGAGTCTACTGAGCTTCGTGTAATCGCCATTTGAAGAATTTGATGATTTCAAATTTAAGTATCCTCAGTCGTAAATTTCTTGATCATTGTCTCCTTCATCAATGACAATTTGAGGTCAAGTGTTTGGAAGAGTTCTTAAGAAAAATATTGTGAGGATGACTTCGTGTATTGTAGGGGTTTAGGTTGTCGGGTTGTCTAAAAGATAACCATGGGTCTTTGATAGCTGGCATAGTTGAGATGGATTGACAATATTAACCAAAGAGAGAAAAAACACGAATAATATCAATTATTTATTTATTTTTGAAAAAAAACGCAAGTTATGAAGCGCACAAATGAAATTGCCTTTTCCGTACATTTAAAATTGGTGTAAATATATACAGGGAGCTATATTACTTCAGGAATCATCTCTCTGTAAAAGGAGTGCCAGCAACAGAAAGCACCTATTACGTTAAGGAGTCGGTCTAGTGAATTTTCGTATGCTTTGTTCTATAGTAAATCAGTCACATTTGAGGCATAATTCCCAATTCCACTGTTCCTGATGAATTAGTAACAGGGGCAGGTAATCCAGACTAAGTGATTACCTCCCTACGCCAAATTAAGGGGAGATCACTGCGTGAGACCTTAAACTAATCTTCCCGTTCCAAATTCCGTGTTGTAATTACGGATTTTAGATGTTTCATTCTAGACTGGTACACAATTTGTATATACAGAAATTAGTTTTGATCATAAATTTATATTCTGGATAAACCATTCTAGGACACGTTTACTTCCTGTTTTAAAAAGCGAAACATGAATACTGTTTTGGCGAGATTAAACACAATTTTTGCCTTCACGCTAAGCGTGATGGCAGGGTTGACCTTTCTGTGCTTTTTATCAACATATTTCAATGATCACCAGGCAGTTGTTGCCATTAACACCGGAAAGGTCATCGTGTAAGTATAAAATTACCTCAAACATATGTCACCGGCTTAAGACTTAGTCTAGACATTAACTTGGTAAGGAATCAAAAGTGGAAATGTCACGGTAAAAAAGTGTCCACTAATTGGGATAACACGTTGATTACTCAGCTGCTAAAGCTGTGGTATGGTATTCTGTGAGTCCTGGGTTGGGATCAGACCTAATTCATTGTAAATTACTAAATCCACATACTGCCAGTTTTCAATCACAACCACTTTTCAATCATCCCTCGAATTTTTTTATTTTTGACCTTATTTGTCATGTAACCAAACTGTAAGCACATCTTGTAGTTAGCCCAACAAATAGTGCGCTTTAGGGCTTTTTTTATATATACGATGGTCGCCCTTCGCGCACAACCCACTTACGATTCAAAGTAATGCGGAAAGTTTTCCTTTTTTGTGTATGTGCCAGCGACCAGAATCTCGTCGCTAACTTTGACGGCTTCAAATATTTATTTAAACTCAACATTTCTTGAAAAAAATTACATACCTGCAAAGCTTATTCAAAATAGAATAAATTTAAAGAAAATTGATCAGAAAGTTATATGTTTTTAATGCACAACGGTTACAAATTCCTACTCATATCAACGTTTTTTAGCTCGACTTTTCTATGAAAAGGGGAGCTATCCTACTCGCCCCGGCGTCGGCGTTAGCGTCGGCGTCGGCGTTGGCGTCACACCTTGGTTAAGTTTTTCGTACCACCCCACTTTATTTCAGAAGTATTACAAGTATGGCTTTGAAACTTACCATACTTGTTCACCATCATAACCTCCATCTACAGACAAGAGTACATAACTCTGTCAAGGTTTTTGACAGAATTATGGCCCTTTTTTGACTTAGAAAGTGTATTGAGCTTGGTTAAGTTTTTTGTACCACCTCACTTTATTTCAAAACCATTGGAGGTATTGCTTTGAAACTGACCATACTTGTTTACCATCACGACCTTCATCAACAGACAAGAGGACATAACTCTGTCAAGGTTTTTGACAGAATTATGCCCCTTTTTTGACTTAGAAAATACATTGAATATGGGTAAAATCCACTTATTGCCTTAACCCTTTGAGATATTGCTTTGAAACTTTTAATGCTATTTCACATCATTACCCCCATCTGTACGCAAGAGAAGGTAACTCTGTCAAGGATTTGTTTTAAAAATTAAGGCCTTTTTATCGACTTAGAATCTTGGTTAAGTTTTTAGTACCATGTCCACTTTTTGACTGAACTGTTTGAGATATTAATTTGAAAGTTGGAATACTTGTTTACAATCATGATTCCCAAACATGTCCAGGAGAAGGTAATTCTGTCAAAGATTTTATTTGAATTATGGCCCTTAACTGTCAATGTTTTTGTATATATTAGGCAAGCACTAAAAAACTTAAAAAATCTAAAAAAATTCATTCCTATCCACTTGTTCACTTTACCATAAATTATGTCATATAAACATTGCTGTAATATTCAAGGGTATTGCCTTTTACTGCAAAAACTTTTTTTATTGGCAAGCAATAAAAAAGTCGAGCGCGCTGTCTTACGGACAGCTCTTGTTGTTTTACACCGCTAAAACTCTACCTGTAGTGTATTGATAAATCTCACTAGCTTGCAGTATGTACTGCGGGAATTCCGTTGTACACATGAAAACGGGTTTTGTGGTTGTTTCGTCTGCAAATGTTTTATTTAGTCCTTTAGTGAATAAATTAACTAGGGTATGATCCAGGCAATAACTCAAACGTTAAGTATAGATTAATACACACGTCCTGGGCATTGATACTGTCATTTTCCAATTGCTATCTATATGAATATTATATTAAAACTGACGAGAATGATTATACATATTTTTTAGAAAGTTGTTAGTTACTGTATGTCACGTTAAAAAAGTTACCAACAAAATGAATACTAGAAAAAAAGACAAAAAGAACAACAACAAAACAACCCTAAAAATAAAAGATCTCCGGGAAAGATACACGTTTTCCTTTTATCATTATTATTTTTAATTAAAATTATTATTATTATCATTATTAATACGAAGATTTCAAACCACTGTTGAAACTTGATAAATAACTATATATTTCACAAAGTGTATCAATCTCCAATGTTTCGTTTATCAAGGAGTTTGCTGTTTAATATCTATTCTTTTCTTTAACAAAAAAAAAAAAAAAAAACACACAATCTTCAAATCATAACAGGGAAATGAAAATAATAATAAACATTTTAAAATTAGAAATATTCATTTCCTAATATCAAGAAAACGTGATTTAGAAATACATTTTTTCCAGTAATTAACGCGATCGGTAATTTCATCCACTCTTTCACGCGATAACGTAGGAATATCCCCTCAATCATTTATGTCTGATCATTTTCCGCATATATGTAAGAAAACCAAAGTATAAGTTCTATGAATTGTGTTATAAATAGCGGAGTTTTTTTTTCAGTTTTTGTTGTAAACGAAGATTATGCGGAGAATTTTTACATTTTCTTTGCTTATCTTTCAAGAGCTCTAACATACGATTTTTGGCGATTTTTTTTTATCTATAATTTTCCATTTCATTTATTTCAATAAATTAGACTGGAAGAAAGATATTTTAAACATCAATCACTTCACAGGCAAATATCACCTAAAAAATTATAAAGATTTTCGTAAATTCTGTTGATAATTTAAAGCATGACTGAAGCCATGCCGTAAACAATTTACGCGCTGATCGAATAACTACAACCATCTGTCTTTTTCCCCCGATACGATACGATCCTCGACTGTAAGTCATGTTGTATACATGTGCTTTTAATATTTACAAAAAAAACTAGTTAATTATTCTTTAAATTTCTCTTTCATTTAATGTATCCAAGTTTTGAATTTCATAACTTTTATCACAGATGGACTTAGTCTAGATATTAATTACGACTGCAAGACAGACCGATTTTATAATCTGATCAACTTAGATACGTTGCGCTAGAACAAAGCAAGCTTCATTCATTTCTTTACGTCTTTCTCCGCGTGAAATAATTATTTCCCTGCTCTGGACAAAATTTGACCGCTGTAGACAAAAGGATCTGCATGACTTTCTGTCATTAAACTATTGACTACTTCAATTCTAGTTGTACAGGAAGGAAAGGGGGAAAAAGGGCACTTTGTTGGCGCTTGTTTTCATTTGTTTTTTCTATTCAATATGATTACAACATCTCTTGAATTAAATCACAACCGGGTAAACGAATACTAGGTACTTTGGACCATGCTTTAATTTTCTTTTACAAAATTTTTAATATTTAAATGTTTCTGTCGGTACAGGTACGTATATTAAAGTTCGGGATAAAAAAGAGAGCGCGTAGTTAACTTAAGTCGTTCTATTATAGTTAGGCACATTCATAGAATCTGCCTGTTATTTATTTGTTTCTTTAAAGATATTTTTATTTTGATAATACTGATCATTTATGTGGACTGTTATTATAAATGTTTTGATGTCAATTAATTATTGTGCTGAAATTTTGTCGGAGGGATCTTCCGGGTTTTCGCAGTAAAAACTATGTGATTTTTTTGGCGACAAGCGTACGAGAATATAATTTTTAAGTATATATTCATCACCAGTGGTTTCTAAATCTAAATGAATTCAAAATATTAACTAACACCTTTAAAAATGTTTATGATATATAGCGCTTTTGTATGTGTTTACCGCATGCAGCCTCCTTGGGTGTACTAATATGCTTAAATGAAAACAAACGTTTTCATTGGTTATCACGTTCGCTGTTTACATTTCAGCGACAGGTACCATTTTAAAGTTTTTAGGTAATTTAAGTTATTTTTTGTCATTTTATGATTCTTTTAAAGACAATGTATGGTTTATAACAACAAATATACATGCCATTGTGAAAATTTTCATGTTGCAGTGAAAAAATTGAAATTTTGCTCGGCTCGATTTCCGACACAGATTTGATCGTAACTGGTTGCGACGTAAAGACAGACATCTATGAAATATCAGATTATAAAATCGGTCTGTCTTTTGCCATCGAAAAATTGAGACTAATCTTGTAGTCACCTTGACTAAATTTATCAGCAGCAATGTCAATTATGGCGATAAAAAAGAAAATGCTAGCATTTTAGTTCAAAATATGTAAAATGTGTGTTTTCCACTAATCCTTTATTTACCCAGTTACAAATCGCAATAATTTTCTAAAAATAATTGATTTACAGACTCAATTTTTTGTCAGTCTGCAGAAATGGATATTAAGTTGGACAACTGTTTCAATATCATGAAGTCATTATGTTTCAAAAGCTGTAATTTTAATATGTACATATTTTACCATACAGTTTTTAATTGGAAGGTAATACATCAGTAAAGTAACAGTCACTTAACCAAGGAAAAACATTCTCTGTGATAACTTTTCAGTAAGGAGTCACTAGAATGGGGTCATATAGACCCTAAGATCCTAAATATTTCACAAGAACATGCTTTTTCTGTTATGCAAATTGAAATGTACATCCATACCCCAATTGTGACAGCTTTACCACTGCAAATAGATATCTAGATTGAAAAATGGCATTATAATTAGGTTAAAATTGTTTATTACCATTTATCGGAAGTTGAGTTTGTCAAAATTTCTCCAAAATACAGAACTAATTATATTTTAACATTGTATGACAATTTTTATGTGGTACAGTTTATATTTTGTTAACTGATTGAAAAGTGGTTGTGAAATTTTGAAGAACTGGAAAATGGGTCAGTAATGATTTGTCCTCGATTCATAGTAATAATTGAAGTGAAATTTTAAAATGTTAATGCATTTATTAGCTGAAATGATAATATTCGCAGAATTGAAAGAGAATTTATTTTATATATAATTTCACTGTCAGTTATTGTTGAAAAATCTGTTAGCTGATCGGAAAGAGGCAGTACGGGCAAATAATATGAAAATACGCAAGGGTAAGTCAGATATAAAAATGAATCTCGTTCATTTTTATTTTACATTTTAAAGGTATCATTCAGTATTTCATGAACCGCTTCCTTCACTTGAATCATCTCAACATTATTCTTAAGCTGAAAAGTTGGGATTGTTCCATTACCAAATACCCCGCCGATTAATATTGAGCTACATTAAAAAACATTCATTTACCTTATTTAGTTAGGTTTTAACAGATGACTGCAAAAATGTATAGCAAAATATTGACATGTGACATCAATCTAGTTCTAATGCATATAACCAATTAAATCAGTAATGATTTGAAGGAAATTAAATGTACGATAAAAGATCAATGCAAAAGGAACATGCTTTACACAAAGTGGCATATGACTTATCTAAGTACTGACATATATTTGTATATATATTTGTTTTATTTTCAGTAAAAATGTACCTGATTACAGTGCATCAAGAGAGAAGAATGATTTAGGATTTGTTGTCTTTGACCTGCAAACAGATATCCTTTTTAACCCTGAACAACCTGAAAATCTTAAATGGACTTGTCCATTATTCAATCTAGACAAACATTATATAACCATTCATCATTTTTTGGGAGAATTTCATCCTGTGTACTGACTAAACAGGCATTGCAGACTATAACTGGTGTCAGCTGATCTTGGTTGGCACTTGTTTCATGGGTAAATTAAATTACAAACAGATATATCCTTTTAATCCCCCATTACTCAAATGTGAAATGGATCTACTATTTCAATTAATAATGATTTATTACTTTTATGGATCTACTATTTCAATTTATAATGATTTATCACAAACTTGCAGTTTCCTTACAAGAAGAACCAAAACTTGTAGGTTTTAATAAAGTAATTAAACTTATTCCCTGTTCCGGCGTTTTTCATGTTTGTCTTTTATATTAGTTACTGTAACTTAAAGTAAAACATCTAATAAGGCGATGTATTTTTATATTTAAATTAAAATTTATCATCTTCCTTAATGGTTTGTTTGCAACTATAATTAAAAACTTGTAAGTCAATATAATAAAAGTGTGTTTGGTATTTTTTAAATTTCTTTTTTTCCAATTAATTTAATTTTTTTATGACATGCATATGTGATTCTTTAATACTTCCTATAAATAGAATAGGAATTGTAACAAATATCTGATTTCTAAGTAATTATACCCCCACAAACGAAGTTTAGGGGGGGTATATAGGAGTCAGCTTGTCGGTCGGTCGGTCGGTTGGTCGGTCGGTCGGTCCGTCGGTCGGTCCACATCATGGTTTCCGGACGATAACTAGAGTTTGGAATGAGGTATTGTAATCAAACTTGGTATATAGCAACCTTATGTGAAAACTCCGGTTGGTATTGCATTTGGACCCCCTGGGGTCAAGGTCAAGGTCACCGTTACTAAAAATAGAAAAATGGTTTCCAGACAATAACTAGAGTTAGGAATGAGATATTGTTATCAAACTTTGCGTATAGCAAGCTTATATGAAGACCTTGGTTGGTATTGCATTTAGGCCCCCTGGGGTCAAGGTCAAGGTCACCGTTACTAAAAATAGAAAAATGGTTTCCGGACAATAACTTGAGTTAGGAATGAGATATTGTAATCAAACTTGGTGTATAGCAAGCTTACATGAAGACCTGGGTTGGTATTGTATTTGGACCCCCTGGGGTCAAGGTCAAGGTCACCGTTACTAAAAATAGAAAAATGGTTTCCGGACAATAACTAGAGTTAGGAATGAGATATTGTTATCAAACTTGGTGTATAGCAAGCTTATATGAAGACCTAGGTTGGTATTGCATTTGGACCCCCTGGGGTCAAGGTCAAGGTCACCGTTACTAAAAATAGGAAAATGGTTTCTGGACAATATCTTTAGTTAGGAATGAGATATTGTAATCAAACTTGGTGTATAGCAAGCTTATATGAAGACCTGGGTTTGTATTGTTTTTGGACCCCCTGGGGTCAAGGTCAAGGTCACCGTTACTAAAAATAGAAAAATGGTTTCTGGACAAGAACTAGAGTTAGGAATGAGATATTGTTATCAAACTTGGTGTATAGCAAGCTTATATGAAGACCTGGGTTGGTATTGCATTTGGACCCCCTGGGGTCAAGGTCAAGGTCACCATTCCTAAAAATAGAAAAATGGTTTCCGGACAATAACTAGAGTTAGGAATGAGATATTGTAATCAAACTTTGTGAAAAGCAAGCTTATTTGGAGACCCCAGTTGGGATTACAATTAATTGAAATATTTCTTTGTACACAGTTGATAGTTTGTGTTGAAATTTTTCTTCAGACTACTTATTTTTCAAAAAGTTGCTGGTGGGGGTATTAATCACCTTCAGTGATAGGTCTAGTTTCTAAGTAATTTGCTATCCTTGACTATTGATACATTTGTCAGATATATTTAACTGGAATGTGAAACAGTTGTTCCTGTATTTGACAGCTGAATATAAAACTGAAGACCATGTAAGTATCTCCTTTTCTATTAAACATATTTGTCTCTCATTATTAAAGGATTTAGATTAATTTGATCGTTCAAGTGATATTGATTCAATTACACTGGAAAGAACTAAAAAGGAAACAATATTCTCAGGGGAAAATATTAATGATCTTCAAATGAAATATCTTACTTTTGAAGTGAGACTTTTGGGAGACAGATTGTTTTTGCCTTCACTGTTAGACTGTCCTTCTGTCCGTCCGTACAAACACAGAAGTACAATGTGCTTGTGTGACTAGGAGAACATACTTCCTTGTTGTGCATTCAGCTTGTTCGACTTTCACAGATCAAACTCCTAGGGGGATTTCAAATAAACTTCCCAAGACCGATCTGTATCAACCCTAGTTGAGCATATTGCCAGCATGTTCCTTTTCACTGCACAAAGCGGCTGCAAGAGCTAAAAAAACAAAACTTGCCCAGCTTTCACAGGTCAAACTGCAAGCAGGATTTCAATGAAACTTCACAGAAGTGATCAGTACCATACCTTGTTGTGCATATCGCCAGCATATTCCGCTTTGTTGCACAAAATGGCACCTAGAGGTATAAATAGAAAAACCTTGTCCAGCTTTCACATGTCAAACTGCTGGCGGAATTTAAATAAAACTTCACAGGAGTGATCAGTACCATCCCTAGTTGTGCATATGGCCAGAACGTTCCACTTTGCTGCACAAAATGGCAGCCAGAATTATAAATAGAAAAATCTTGTCCAGCTTTCAGAGGTCAAACAGCTGGTAAGATTTCAACAATACTTCATAAGAGTGATCAGTACCATACCTAGTTGTGAGAGACATATGTTTTTGTGACATAAACCCTTTCAAGTTATATTTCATTTTCAGGAAAATATTTTATACATGTATGTAGTATCAAAAACGTCTTAGCTTACATTTCTAATTTTGGTATTTAATTATTTAGTTTAAATATGTTTAAATTTACTTGTTAATAAAAGAAGTTCTTGCAACTTATCTTTGTCGATTCTGAGACTGCCTCCCGTTAGTAGCTAGTACTGTCTGGTGTCATATGATTATGAGAAAACATGGCTGTGATCTAAGTAGTGCTTGAACCCTCAATCGGTGGGTTGAGAGACAGAAACCTTAACTACAATTTAAAGGACCATTATTTTAACTTTTTGTCAATTTCATGATACCATAGCAAATTAGCAATGAATGAATTCAAATTCACCTTTGAACGTTAGTTAAATGTTGTGCTGAAATATTTTGGTCTTTATGTGTATATTTGATGATGGTGAAATTCTTAAATTCCAAATATACATTGTATATTTTATATTTGATGTTTCAGGCACTGAACCAGGTTGTTATATGGGACAAGATTATAAGGCGTGGGGAGAATTCTATTCTAGACTATAGGAAAGCTAACACCAAATACTACTTCTGGGATTATGGTAATGGGCTCAGGTAAATAAATTTCCTATTTTTGATATTTGTTGTTGTTTTTCCAGAATCAAACACTAAATCCTGAATTAATAGAAAATTATTCTAGGTGTTATATTTTGGAGTGATAACATTATACTTAAAAGTTGAAATATTACATTTGCTAAAATATAATGTATTGAATTGAAAACAAATATTTATATTCATAACATTCCATGCCATGATTTTTAAAGGAATATCGAATATCTTATCTGGCTGTCTGATTATAAGTGTAAGGATAGTGGTTGTATTGAGGTAACCATTTATGCCTGAAATCTACTAGGGAATTGTTGCCACCATGAAAGCTGGAAAGTCACTGTATATTGCTGTTTTCTCATCTTCATAATTATTTGTAATTTCATTGTATAATTTATCAATTATGAGTTACACAATCTGTCTGTCATTCATTTAAGCATTGTTCTTATGATTTCCATGTTCTAAATACAGCATTCACCTTTTTATTTCAGGTCCAATAAAAATGTGACCTTGACATTGTCATGGAATGTGATACCAAATGCTGGCACCCTGCCAAAGATCCAAGGTCAAGGTCACCATAGATTCCAATTTCCTGAAGAGTACAGCCCAAACAGATTCCAATAAGAAACAGCTTTAGAATAGAAACATTTTAGGATATTATTTTAATTTGAATGAAAATCAAAATTTGGTGGCGGAATCATGAAGTGTGATTAAACCCTTAACCTGCTAAAATTCTTACATGGACTTATCAAGATTCCATTATGGAACAGTCCATTATCATCTTTAGGGATATGAAAGTTTTATGTTGGTCAGCCAACAGTATAGAGCCTTGTTTGATTGGACGAATGTTCAGACTCACCTGGCTCTGTAATGGTGGCTTATTACTTTAGATTCCAGCAAGGTAAGGGTAAAGATAAGTGAGCTGGCCCAGGTTGTACTTCTTTATTTCTAAGACTTTGGTTATCAGGTCTTTTTGCAATTTCTTTATGGTGCTTTATGATTTTATACTTTTCTTTGTGGATATTTTCTGTGAGGATAAAAGATTTTGTTGAAAAAAAAAAAAGAGATTTGTGGATAAAAATAAGAGTTTTTGTAGTTTTTGATACTGATAATGAGATATTCATAAAGAGTTAAGTAGATATGGGAAGTTAAACATTATACTGTGGCCATTACATGTAACTGACATGTAAAGGATGTTTATTCTGATTCAAAAGAAAATGTGTGTAAGACCGATTTGTATTTTGTTGTTATGACTCAAAGTCAACCATAAATGTCTTCTGCTTTAAGACTACAGAGACCTTGATTTATGTGCTCCATATCGTCACCCTAGTGCAATAACTGATTAACTGATTACATTTAGAAGAACTTATTACGTTACTGCACAAGGGTGACGATATATGGTGTTAATTTAGTCTACTGCTCACAAGCAGGTGTGCGATAATTGTTTTATGACCATTTAACATTACATGATGCAATATATCAATGAAATTGAATGAAAACATTTTGAATTATTTATTAAGATGTACAAAATCAGCAAGAGATGTAAGGACCATAAATAAACATTTGAGCTGCGTCATGACAAAACCAACATAATGGCTTTGCGACCAGTATTGATCCATGACCAGTCTGTGCATCCGTGCAGTCTGATCAGAATCCATGCTGTTCGCTATCAGTTTCTCTACTTGTAATAGGGTTTGTAAGCGAACAGCATGGATCCTGATCAGACTGCGCGGATGCAAAGTCATTATGTTGGTTTTGTCATGACGCGGCTCAATTTTTTGTAAAGATTTATCACATGATTTGACAAGAAAATTCTAAAATAACTTTATTTATGATACACATTGTCATAGTATCTGACTTTTAACTGGTGACAGTATTTTTTTTATTTATTTAATAAATTATTGTGCATGATTATGTGCTGTGTAAAAAATGTTTTATAAAATGCACAATGCATGTTATTGTCTAGCTTTATTGTATGTGTGAATAACATTCACAAGAATGTTGATTGAATTAAGATATTTATTTTCTGTCCTGTCAATGAAATGATTTATTGCAAGATAAATAATGCATAGGATGACATCTGTTTTATTCTGTTTGATTAAGGTGTGAAAGTTGAAAAAAAAACGTATTTTTTCTTCTTTTTTGCAAGAATATAAGATATATTTCTTACTTTTAAAGTGATATTATTTCATGTGTTGCACATGTTGTTCAATTACAATAGTTTTAAAACTGTTTCTGTGAATACAAACAAATATTCACCAAGTAAGTTTGTTGAATAGACATGGAAAAAAGTAAGATTAATGTTGAGCAACTTTGGTCTTTACAGTCTAAAAATAACCGTTTTGTGTTGCACTTATGTATTTTTGCAGAACTGCATTTTGTCCAAATCATGAATAATACAAGTGCCATAGCAAACTGATAATCAGTTAGAGCACAATGATAATTTTACTCAATACACTTATTTGATGTGTAGAATAACAAATTGTCATGTTAGAGCAGTAATTGGTTGACAAGGCCCTCCTGAGACATTATTTCTCTCTGGCATCATGTCCTCTTATATATAATTGAGCCGCGTCACTACAAAACCAATGTCATGCGTTTTGTCGTGACGCGGCTCAATTAAACTATGATCTGAATTTCATATCACTCTTTGAATTCTTCGTTAACCCTTAACCTGCCTAAATAGACTTGTCCAACTTTTAGTTTTGGTATAGTTTATTATCGATTCTGCATGTAACAAGATGAAAATTAAAGTTGGCGAGTAAACAGTATTGAGTCTGGTCAGACAGCATGGAAGTGCAGGCTAGCCTGGCCCTATACTGATGGCAAAGGTTACTCATTCTCAGTTCCAGCAGGTGAAAGGTTAAACGATATGTGCAAAGATTAATTAACATTATTTTTCTACAGCAATGTATACAAGAGTGTGATATTGAATGAATTGTTTGTGAATGTGAACATTGTATGTGGATGTAGGAATGCAATAAAATGAAAATATGTAATAGTATCTGGGACATACAATAAGTTATTGTATATCCCAGATAGTATTCAGCATGTAGTATATCAACTTACTACTGATATTGTTTTCATCAATTCATTAACTGCATAAATTGTAAATATTTACATTTGGTTAGAAATATTAGATAATCATTACATACAATTTTTGTGTAGGTAATATTTTATTATCAATTTGTAATTCTGCTTTCCCTTTTTTATACACCTATGTAGTGCATATTTAGACAAACAAAATAAAGATATACTTTGTATGGATAATAGTTCCAGTATTATAAAAAATGTAGATGTTGCTATTTCATTTTTAGCTCACCTGTCACAAAGTGACAGGGTGAGCTTATGTAATCACTTTTCGTCCGGCGTCTGTCCGTCGTCCGGCCGTCCGTCCGTCCGTAAACTTTTACTTTAAATGACATCTCCTCATTAACCACTAAGCCAATTTCATCCAAACTTCACAGGAATGTTCCTTTGGTGGTTACCTTTAAAAATTGTTCAAAGAATTTAATTCCATGCAGAACTCTGGTTGCCATGGCAACCAAAAGAAAAAACTTTAAATATCTTCTTTTAAAAAAAACCCAAGAGCTAGAGCTTAGATATTTGGCATGAAACATCTTCTAGTGAATGTCTACCAAGTTTGTTCAAATAAAATCCCTAGGGTCAAAATTTGCCCCGCCCCAGGGGGTCATTGATTTTCCCTATATGCATATAGTAAAAACTTAAAAAATCTTCTTTTAAAGAACCCAAAGAGCTAGAGCTAAGATATTCAGCATGAAACATCTTCTAATGAGTGTCTACCAAGTTTGTTCAAATAAAAGCCCTGGGGTCAAAATTGGCCCCGCCCCAGGGGGGTCATTGATTTTCCATATATGCAGATAGTTAAAACTTAAAAAATCTTCTTTTAAAGAACTCAAAGAGCTAGAGTTAAGATATTCAGCATGAAACATCTTCTAATGGGTGTCTACCAAGTTTGTTCAAATAAAAGCCCTGGGGTCAAAATTGGCCCCGCCCCGGGGGGTCATTGATTTTCCTTATATGTGTATAGCAAAAACTTAAATAATCTTCTTTGAACAAACCCAAATAGCTAGAGTTTAGATATTAAGCATGAAACATCTTCTAGTGAGTGTCTACAAAGTTTGTTCAAATAATAGCCCTGGGGACAAAATTGGCCCCGCCCGGGGGGGTCATTGATTTTCCCTATATGCATATAGTAAAAACTTCAAAAATCTTCTTTGAAAAAACCCAAATAGCTAGAGTTTAGATATTAAGCATGAAACATCTTCTAGTAAGTGTCTACAAAGTTTGTTCAAATAAAAGCCCTGGGGTCAAAACTGGCCCCGCCCCAGGGGTGTCATTGTTTTTAACTATATGTGTGTAGTAAAAACTTAAAAATCTTCTTTTAAAAAACCCAATGAGCTAGAGCTTAGATGTTTAGCATGAAATATCTTCTTATGGATGTCTACCAAGTTTGTTCAAATAAAAGCCCTTGGGTGAAAATTGGCCCTGCCAGGGGGGAGGGGGAGATCATTGTTTTTCATTACATGTGTGTAGTAAAAACTTAACATTGTGAAACATCTTCTAATGAGTGTCTTCAAAGTTTGTTCAAATAAAAGCCCTGGGGTTTAAACTGGCCCCGCTCCGGGGGCCTATATACAGGTGAGCGACCTCAGGGCCATCATGGCCCTCTTGTTTTTAGATACCTATATGCCAGACTTATTTCAAATAAAATTTGAAAGCCATAATTTTGTTCGGACAGATTTAAATAAATGTGTCCAGAGGCAACTAGTCATGTTTTGCAAAGCCTAAGACTAGTTCAGTATGACAGACCAAAGGATAAAAAAATCCTGAATATTGTAGACCAGTCCAAAATTCTAGCTTATTTTGAAACATTATTTGAAATTGGCCAATGAGAGTGTTTTATTTTCAGACTGGTGTACAATTTCAGGTTTTATATTTTTGGTCTGGACTATAGATTACTGATGATGGTCTTGTGTGATGTGTTGTTAATTTTTTAATAATGTAGACAACCAAATGTATAATCATTTTAGGAAAATGAATTTGATTATTTGTCAATAAATTTGATGATTATTTTAGATATCGGATATTGATTTAAAATGCATGTAGATTATCTATGTAATTTAATTACAGTTGTAAGTGCAGCATTTTATACCTCTAATAATATTTGTATTGAATTTTATTCATGATAGATGTGAAGAAGAAAAATATCTGTATGAATGAAAATTATTGTAATGTATATTGTAGTATATGTAGTTGTGCATGTTTGCTGTCTTGTAATTAGCACATTTCTTCTTCTCAATTGTTGACCATTTTTGATGCATTTTTACAAAAATATACATGTAGGACTTGTTATCATAGGCTTAATGTGATTTTGTTAATGAAACAAAAAATGCCTGATCACGAGTTGCAAATGCATTTGATGTTAATATTTGTAGTGATAAAAGCATGAAAAGTTACAGATCTGCTACTACATAAATATAGTTATGCTATTGTAGAAAATGTGAAAAAATGTGAACTGTTGTTAATGAAATGTGAAAGGTGCTTATGAAATATTGAAAATGTGAAACATTGAGCTTAAATTTCACTCTTCATATGATGAAATGTGAATGGTTTTCATTTAATAATTTATAAAGAGTCGAGAATTAAGAGTTAAGCATCTCCATTTCTTACCATTTGAAGATTAAAAGAAATAACCATTATTTATGTGTTTGTGCAATTTGATAATAGTGAGTATTGTAAAAATATTTTAGACTAATCAAAAAGTAAGATTTTTGGAAATGATAATTAGACCACCATAAAAAAGTTAAGTTTGCAATAATGTGACCATGTGCGGCAAGTTCATTTCCATAGACAAATTTACTTTCACATGTGTTCACCTAATTTTTGCCATTTTGTTTTAAAAATATTTATTCATTGTAAAAGGCCATGTGACACAGCAAACAAGCATTTTTTCAAGAATGCCTCATACTCTCCTTCATGCACTAAGCTCATTGTTTATTTGTTGTTTTTCTTTATGATTGAATGAACTACATGTATACTTGTTTATTATGTATATTTGGTGAATGGATTTACTGGTAATAAATTTTCATATTTATTTTATTACCTTATGACATCTAATTGTCTATTGTTGTAAAATAAAATGTAAAAATGTGAATGTTTCTGATTTTATTATGTAAGAGTCTGGAGAAAGCCTGCCTTTTTTGGGGGTTCTCTTTTTTTGTAGCAACCAAAGTTGTTCATGTTTACATAAAAAATTAATGTAAACTTAAAGGAGTGGTTGTCAAGTGGTTAAGGCATCTGCCTTTCATTTCTTAGAACTGTGGGCTCTACTCTAATATTATAGTAGTTATACACCGAGACTCGGTGAATGTTCGTTTTTCCCATCTAATCATGGGACTCAAACAACCATTACAATTACATCTTTGTATAAGAGTATCGCTTTGATAACTTTATTGTGAAAGGTAAGTACTGTCAAACTGTAACAGTAAGTTTGTCTGTTATCCAAGATTAGATGAAATCAACATACATATAATGAGTTCTGCTTGTTCATTTCTTTGATGTTTTGGTAATCTGATGATTCTTTTTGTTTGGTTTTAAGTCACTCCAATACAGTAAAAGGTAATATGGTGACTTTCCAGATTTACTGATGGAGATTAACCTCTGTGCATTATTTCAGACAGCAGCAGGCACCAAAGTAGAACCACCCATGTTCCATAAGCTATCTAGATAGCTTCCTTACATGAAAGAGTACAAAGTCCTTGTCGGGATTAGAACTTACAGGTGTTAAGGGCAAGTGATTAGAAGTCAATGACCTTAACCACTCAGCAACAGAGACCCTACATAGTTTAAGATTAGTACAATATCATGGACACTAACCAAAATTTGTCATTTTCTCTCTCAAGCCTTGTGTGTTCAACATTATTTACAAAGGCAAATATTGGGATTGCACAGCAGGTGATATGCTTGCATAGAGGATTGAAAAGGAATTTTTGATCACCAGACTAGGAAAACATTTGTTGAACATTTGCCATCAACCTGACGTCGGTCCCCATAACCTTGTCAGATTCCATCAGCCAACCTGCTCTCCAGAAATTGTAACTCTTGCATGTATATATCCGTTAGATGGGTTTTCTAGCAGTTTTGGGTAAAAATTTCAGAGTACTTTATTTCAGAGTACTTTTCCGCAATTTTACATTTTTTACCAGTAAGCAATGTCATGGTGAAATTTATGCTGCAAAACCTGTGTATTGAAATTTTCTTGTAGCGTCTGTAAGATTTATGCTCAAAAGTACTTGTATTATATATGTACATTGTACATATTAAATAGCAAAATTACAACTTTTCTTCATAAAACAAACTCACATTTACATGTTTTATTATTTTATTTTTTATTCTTTTTTCATGAAAATAAAATGTCATAGTACAACAAAATGCATATTTCAAATAATAATAATAAAATTCAGATCTGGTAATAGTAATAATAATAATTAAAAAAAAAAACACATACAAGACGATGATGACAATGTGCGGAACATTAAAAAATCAGATCCTTTATATAATAAACAAAGACAAATCTAACTTTTTCAAAAATAAGAATGTTCATTCAACATTTAACCATAATATTTTGGCAGAACATACATGAAGTAACCAAATGATGGTTTTTGTTTCTTTCAGATCTACTTTTAATAAGTCTTTCACCTTAGAACCAATTTTCAAATCATTTATCATTTAAAGTTAAAGAAAAAAATATTAATGATTTTATAATAAACTATTTCTTTTTTCATTTAAGTATAACTATGTGACAAATTTGTATAATAAGTAGCTAGCTCAACTTGAAAGTTTTTAAAATCAACAAAATCGGTTCGGAAAATAAAACTAAAAGTAATCGAAAATGACATTTATTGTAAATATCATACTTTGTATGAATATAATGGAATGTTTAAAACATGGAGGACAATCTTTAAACTAAACTTAATATGTCAAATATTTTACAGATAATCCATCCATCTAGTCTTTTTTTTTTTAAATTTCTGTTGTTTTCAACTCAAATATTTTTACAATTTATTTCAACACAGATTCAGACATGCTGAATATTCCATCAATTTAGAACAATCCATCCATTTTACCACTTTCCCATTGTCAAAACTTTGTCATGAGAAAACATATTAAACAAATAACCAAAACTGTCGCAGCAGCATTTTTTTGTTAATGAATTGAATCTACCCCGTCCCCGACTTTATTTGATAAATAATGAAAAAGGAAAAGGAATTATTGCATTTTGTCCGAACAATAATGAATTTTTTAAATTAAAAACCAAATTCAGACAATTTGATATATGCATAATCACTCATGGATGCGATAAATAAAGCCCAGCTTAATATCTACGGCCTAACATCCTACCTGGGAATATTGCCGACATTTAGTTAAAGAGTTAAAGCCAGAATTACATTTTTTATTTAATTCGAATATTATTACATTTTACGTGCAAGAGAAATACATGCAATTTTATTATAATAATACTGTAATGGACTGAATGCAAACAATGTATTGATAACACTTTAGTCTATTTAATCTAAACAATGATGTGTTTTTGATGATGAAAACAATTAGCATGGAATGAAAAATATATAAATATATTGAATAATAATTGAAAAAAAAAAGTAATACAAAGAAATGAAAAAAAAGTGAGCACCTTTTGCATAGATAAGTACCTATGTGTTCATCAGGTACAAAGAAAATTATAAAACAAAAATACTCCTATGAAAGTAAATCCGTATCATTCTATAATTTGTATTCAACATTTTATTTCTTTAATCAAAGATGATTTTAAATTTTACAATATAGCTAATACTTGCACTTAAAAATTTCTGGAAATATGTAAATTTCAAGCTTATTCTAACTAAAAAAAATCTTTTGTTAATGCAAAAATAAATTATTACTCATTTTATAACCGAATGGATTTGTTTACAACAAAAAAGTTATAACTGAGATATATTTTCTTTTATCTATTTTCTTGTATCTAAAAAGCATAGATTTGAAATAAATGGTACATAAAAAATTCTGAAAATGATTTTATAGCATAAAAAGCTGTTTTATGGAATGAGGTATTTTTATTTATATATATTTCAATATATATATATTGCATATTTGTCAAGAAATGGTAATTATCTCCCTTTTACATTACAGTATACATTGTATTCCTTAAATTTTGAAGGAAATAATACAAATTATTGAGGTACAACTAAATATCTAAAAAGTTATTGGTGGGAAATTGAAAAAAAAAATCTAAACAAAATTTCTAAAAAAAAAAACAATATAACTATGGAAACATAATTATATTTTTCAAATATCAGTAAAAGCATGTTATATACTAAATAAAATTTTAAAAAATCCAGACCTGTATACAATGAATTCATTAATTTCACATACAATGTATTATTTCACTATTAAAACTCATTTATAAAATGGTAAAATTTATAAAATTCCTTCAACAAGTGATGGTATAAAAAATCTATTTACAATACTAGAATATAATTACTTTTTACAATTTTTTATTAAATAAAACTATTTACAATTTGCACAAACATATTTTTTTCATTTTTGCATAAACAAAGAGACAGAACTGTAAATTATTAAGTATATTCCACAATTTCCCATCTACACCACACTGTCTTCTTTATGTTTGTATCTTATAAATAAACTACGGATAAGCAGTAACTTTTAAAGGCCAAATCATTTCATTTACTCTTTGAATTTATTGTGTTTGGTTACACCAACACATTCACATTTCCAATTTTTAGTGCCAAACGATTAGACCCTTGTTTTCAGGCACATGCCAAGATATTGGTACTAAAAAAGATTTGTTTCCATTTTTGAAAATAAGACATTTAAAAAAAAAGAAACAGGAAAAAATATATATAACTTACAAAAAAGATATCACAAAAGTATTTGAAAATACATTTCCAGCATTATTCTATTTTTCTCTAAGTTGGATACAAGAAAAAGTGTGGGCAAATGAAAGATTGAGGAATATAATTGATATTTTACAGGTAGTTTGATATTATGGCTAATTGCATGTAAGGAATTCCTGAGGCTATCACACATGCTGTATGGTCTGAACTGGATTCAGCATAACTTAAAAAATTGTACACCCAAAACCTGACACTAATTTTTATATATTTGTTGGGTTTTTATACAGTCCCATCTTTAACTTCTCTAACCAAATCTATAAATCTCATACCAGCCAAAATTAAAGACTATTTATTAATATTTATAAACACATAGCTCAATAGCAAAAAAAGATATTATTTATGTGTTATTATCTTCATGCAAATATTAAATTTATCAATCTTGCATATCATCCAATAATTTTATATCCATTACAATTCATTTCCTCATTAATTTCAAGGTGACAATCAATCCTGGACAGACAGAAAAAAAAGTTCTCTTAACTCAACTGCATCTTTTACAAATGCGCACCTGGAAAGAAAAGTACTACCACTATATTCAAGCAGCCGGTTTACAATGTCTTTGACATTACAATTTTATCAAAATAAAAGGATTGAAAATATAGAATCTTTATACTGAGTATTATTATCAGAAGAACCTCTTTGCAAAATCCATGAATGAATTTCTGAGGACGTTATACATATTCTTCATGTTGTGTGGATTTTGCCCCCACTTGCACAAAATCCACACTGTCTGCATCAGGCAGCAGTGCTATATCTGTGAACACGCCCACAAGTTTTTCAAACTTGGGTCCCCAGTTCAATAAGTCATCCCAATTAAATGCATTGTTTGGTATTTTTGATTGACCCGGATTTTCATCCGAAGAACGTTCATTGCTGGAGAAAGAATTCCCACCGGAATCTAAACCGTCAGTTTTGAAGTTCTTATTAAAATATGCACCATCTTCGTTTTCATTTTCTACTTCCGTTAAGTTTGAGAAAATCCTGCTGTTTGGATCAAAATCATTTCTAGGCTTCTCACTTTCATACTCAAATTCTGAGCATGTAAAAGAATCATTTGCACTGTCGTCTGAACTAGATTCAGGGGGTTCTAATAACATATTGGTATCTTGGTAACGCTCGAAAGGTTTTTGCATTTTTCGCGTATTATTTTCACTAGATGTTGAAAATGCCTCCATCAAACTTG